GGACATGTATCAGCAGTTTCCTATATGTAAAGTAGTTATTTAGCATTGTTTACCATTACTTGATGCTGTCTCTGACAATGGGTTCGATTGTTAATCCGAAATATCAGACAAGTAAAATGTTAGTTCCAGAGATCGATTTCATTGTTGAACTGCCTTACGGGGCCCACATTTCCGCGTAACTCGAAGATCGCAAGAATAGAAATATGCCCGACATTCCTCCCCACAATCATCTCGTTATTTGGCCACATCGACACTGTCGAAGACTATGACCGAGTTCGGGCGATCTGATATCGTTGTCAGGTCGACGCAGCAGTTGGCCGGAAGGGACAAGAAATTTGACTGATTCTGTTCGGGAGTTATATCAGTTTGCTGAATACGGGATCGCAGAATGGGCATTGTTGATCTAATAGATTAAGGCGATGGACGCCATCTGAGCGCACGCGTAAATTTTAATAACTGTATAGAAAATTGACTTGTCAGAGGTCTCATAATCTTGGAAACGTAATCTTCCGCTAATTCGCACGCCAAATCCCAGTGTTTTGACGAAGTCGAACGTAGGCTGCACGTCACAAATACGGCCTACGCTGTTCGTTCTGTAGAAAGTTCAACTCAAGGACGCAGGTCTCTACTGGTCCTAGAACTTTAGTTTTGTGATAAACCAATTGTCTCTGGCACAAAAACGCGAGGTAAATACCCTCGCGTTTGCGAAATTGATTTTATAAAAATAGAGGAGACATGTGGTACTGTAAATTGTGTTCATCATTCGTTTTTAACAAGAATTATCCTAAAAAAATGCAATGACTTTGGCTCCATTTCAATTTGTTGGGTGGAAAAGTTGACCAGATAATAAATTAGGGTTTTTTAGAGAAAGATCAAATAAAACTGCGATGGGATGCATTCCTGTCGCTATATAGCGCGACTTTTCATAGAGAAGCGCCCGCCAGTAGCCGACGACTAGCTACTAGAGATTATCAGGGTCGCAACAGATGATATATAATATCTATCATCTGCTATTGTACATATACAATAGCACACGCTTTCCATATGGAAAGCGTTAGCTATAGCTATTGTTAGCTAGCGCCAGTAACTAATTATATAGAGAACCCTATCTAAAACCCACGAACGCGGCTTTTTTTCTCTTCAATGACGCCAATTAGTGCCCACCGACATGATCATACCGGTCAAACACGTAATCGCTTACGTGGTCGACCGATATGACCTACGATTAGCAACTGTTCAGTTTTGTACAATATGTTAAAAGTAGGTTCAAAAGCAAAACTTACCAGAGGGATTCAAGAGGTTGATAAGTAAGAACTGCAGGAAAACCCAGATTATTAACAGCAAAACGATTATTTTTATTAATAGCCTTTTTTCTAACATCCTCGCGGATACATTGAGAATTAGTGTTTCAGCATGCAAAAACTCCTTAGGGCCAAGGTCGTTTCAATCACAATCAGAAGAAACGCGGAAATATCTGAAACTTGGAAATGCTGACCATAACCAAGAGCACCTTGATAATTATGTCATTTTTTTAAGATGCGCTGCGAAGACATTCAATCCAATTCAACACCTGAAGTGTTTATTATGCGTTGAAGGAGGAGGCATACACTGCGACAGAAACAGAATGCACTGAGATCGAGATATTCGTGGATTAACCATATATTTCCGTTCAGTAATGGACGAAAATAGGTATGAACAGTAGTAGTCGTAGTAGTATAAGTAATAGAAGCACAGGAAGAGGAGAGAGGGAGTAGTACAGGGAGGCCGCGTGGGTTGCAATAGTTTAAACGGGACAGTAAAAATTGA